ATGCTAAAGACAATGAGAAGAAAGAAATGAGTAGGTATTGGTAGATGCCGCCACTGCCCCAATGATGAGCGATGGGATGCCAAGAATGGACGTCGCCCGGATCAACAAGGTCTGTGTCAGGTGTCGAGGGACCAGGGCTTCATGTCAGTATCAAAGTCAAGGATGAGACAACGAACATCCACGAATACATCAGGAAGATGGCCCCAACCAACCGTGTACTCAGTGAAACCCAAGAACCATCATGGAAGCCCCTACACGGTATGTACCACCGGTAGATAGAGGAAGTGGCTGACATCCAAAAATCCTACCAATGGCTGGACAAAGCTGGACTGAAAGACACTAATCATGGCAGCACAGGAGCAAGCTGTCATATGCTCTCATATCACAGTGCTGTCTGCCTGTTTTTACTCTCTCTATATCTTATATACTGCCTTATTTTCGACTAGAAATGCAGCCAACAAGATTTAAACTCAAAAACTAATTTTTAAGATTAATGGTTCCTTTGCAAAATTCTGTTTTTGACCAGCAAGTTCCAAGTTAAGCTCAAACTCTATTTGTCTGTTTATTGTTTTATTGCGTACCTCTAAATATAATATAATTCCAAACTACTCCCAGGATTTAGAAACTTAAAAGACCAACTGCTAGAGTTTCCCGTGTTTCCCATTCCTGCTGAAAATAAGCAGCAGCTTCTCTAACAAAGATGTTACCTGGATGACAGCATATGTCATTCATTATTAATGGTGCCTTAATGGATGTGCTAATTGGCCTTGCCATGTGCAACTTCATACCATCACAAATGTGGTGAAGCATTCACACGAGACAGATTCGTCTCATCTTTAGCCAGTGGAATATACAGTCGCAGCCATGAACTCCAAAAAGGATTTTATCAGGAGTTGAAAGAAATGATGATGTTTTCATGAAAAATACTGGAAGGAACTGTTTTGCTTACAGATTTATAAGACTGTTTATTTTTATTTACCTTTGTGGTCTTTAGAAGATGTTGAGCAGGGTGTGAAATTTGGTGTGAAATTGACACCTGACAGCACCTGGCACCTCCTACGCATTCTGCTTATTTCCAGAAACTGGGCTACACGACCATTACATAAAGACAGACACACGAATACATGTCATACTTAACATAACCATGGTAAGTGTAGTTGGTATGATCAATGTTGTTTATGCAAGAACTCCAACCAAAAAGCAGCCTTATATGTTAATATTTCTTGATATAATTTCAAGTAGATGGGCGTTAAATGCAGTATAAATAATTAATAGGTACGCCTTTACTGCTTCCACAGGAATTAAGAGGATAAGTAGCAGCCAGGTGCTGTTAATTGATTAACTGATCACCAGGAGGTTTGAAACCACAAGTGTTGGTCTCCCAGACTGCTAAACATCAAGTTTACCTTTGACCTCCAGCTATCACTGGCTGATGGAAATAACACTTTGACCCACTAGATGATATTCAGTCAATAAACCAACAGTCTATTTGCTCTGCCTTTGATAAAGGATTGCGGGATACCACATGAAAGTGTCTTGCAATGGACAGAAATGCACTGCCCACTTTTATTAGCTAATGCTGAACAAAAGAGTGACTGAGAAGAGCTCAGCATGGTAAGAGGGTGGGAAATTATAAAATCCTTTTTAGTAGCATCACTTTATCTTTGGAATATTTCCAGAGATATTTAAAGTCAATAAAAATAAATTTGTTTTGCCGCCGTCTCTAATAGAGACATTTTGTCCTGCTTTGAGAGGGAGAGGATTGCCTGGGCCGACCTTCTGCAACTCT